AGTCTAGTCGAACAACGAACAATGTAGGGCTACATCCTTGTTGCTCGGCTGGGGGCAAACAACATAAACATGAAGAAATTGAAAGTTCGAGTTACAAGTCCAACACTTGGCAAATTTCGAAGATACTTTATTAACTTAAAGTTTCATTACAAAAGGACCTCAGCCTAACGAAGGTGATACGAAGTGGAAGAGCTACAAAGAGGGATGAACAATAGAGGTTGGTTGGATGCCCAATGCCCACTTTGAAACGAGCTAAGCAATGGAGGTTGGTTGGACTCCGAACGTCCACTTCGAAGTAGACCGAGCAGCAAAAGTTGGTCAAACGCCCAACGCTTGGGCCGAGCAATAGAAGTTAGTTAGACCCCTAAAGCTTGGGCCGAGCAACAGAAGTTAATTGGACGCCCAATGCTCACTCTGAAGTAGACCGAGCAACAAAAGTTTGTCGGACGCCCAATGCCTGGGCCGAGCAATAAAAGTTTGTCAGACGCCCAATGCCTGGGCCGAGCAATAGAAGTTGGTCAAACGCCCAATGCTTGGGCCGAGAAATAGAAGTTAGTTAGATGCCTAAAGCTTGGGCTGAGCAACAGAAGTTAATTGGACGCCCAACACCCATTTTGAAGTGGGCCGAGCAACGGAAGTTGGTCGGACGCCCAATGCTCACTCTGAAGTAGATCGAGCAACAAAAGTTTGTCGGACGCCCAATGCTTGGGCCGAGCAATAAAAGTTTGTCGGACGCCCAATGCCTGGGCCGAGCAATAGAAGTTGGTCAGACGCCCAACGCTTCGACCGTGCAACAACGGTTGGTTGGATACCCAATGCCTACTCTTAAGCGCGCCAAGCAATGGATGTTAATTGGACGCCCAACACCCATTCCGAAGTGGGCCGAGCAACGAAAGTTAGCCGGACACCTAATGCTCACTTTGAAGTGGACCGAGCAACAAAAGTTGGTTGGACGCCCAATGCCTGGGCCGAGCAACAAAAGTTTGTCGGACGCCCAATGCCTGGGCCAAGCAATAGAAGTTGGTCAGACGCCCAACGCTTCGACCGAGCAACAACGGTTGGTTGGATACCCAATGCCTACTCTTAAGCGCGCCGAGCAATGGATGTTAATTGGATGCCCAACACCCATTCCGAAGTGGGCCGAGCAACGAAAGTTAGCCGGACACCTAATGCTCACTTTGAAGTGGACCGAGCAACAAAAGTTGGTTGGACGCCCAATGCCTGGGCCGAGCAATAGAAGTTGGTCAGACGCCCAACGCTTGGGCCGAGCAACAAAAGTTGGTCGGACACCCAACGAAGTGGTTCATTGAAAATAATTATATATATTTAAGGCACCTATTGATGTTTCCTGAATAATTTATAAATAAAAATTTTAAATTTATAGTATTACTGATAATGTACCTTCATGTGGTCTGCCAGAAACGATGTCTAAAATAATTTGGCTGCAAAAAAAAAATTACAATTATTATGATATGTTACATAATTAATCAGAACTCTTTTGAGAATTGAAATTATGATTTGAATTTGTAATTTTTTATGCATAAATGTGAATAACTCTTACGATCTTACTGATATAAGCATAAATCCTATATTTGAGTCAACCTACCCTAAGAACTTCTTCCTGTAATAAAATACTTAAATATTGTCATATAAAATATTATAATAGATCATAATCGAACAGCACTTGAAGCTTAATAAAATATCTGATGCACGCCTTTACACATAAAAAAATAAAAAATAAAAAAAATTAGTAAAGACATTTTTAATTAATAACTAAAATAATACAGCATGAGTTATAACCAAGTCATAATTTGTATATTATAGAAATTTTTCATTGTTTTTTTTTTTCAAGAAAAAAATAAAATTAGTTTGATACAAGTGAAATTCATGACTTTGGTAAATTTGATTAACACAAGAGAATTTGATTTTAGGTCGATAATACATTTTTTTTTTTATAACTTTGAAAGAAATTATTCTTATGAGCTTTTTATATAAGATCACATACGGTAACAAAAATTTTCTTTCAATTGCTAAAATTTTCTACACAAAGTATCAGGACTCAAAATTAATTTTTTATTTTAAAAATAAATTCTCATGTAATGCACGGGTAAAACTACTAGTTAATTATGAAAGACATATCTTGATCTTGTGCTATACATTAGTTGAAGTGTTGTTCCTTATGAGTTGTAGAAGAACCGTATTAAGCTGCTTAGGTTTCAGTATTGGACCAAGAAATTTATTTTCTTTTACAGTACATTTCTGAAGTGGGTGAAAATTAATCAAGTCTTGGTGCTAGGCCCAATGCAATACTCACTCCAAGGTGGAGCTAGGTCGGACCTCGGCCCTATGGCCAACACTTGCTCCGAAGTAAGACAATCATAGGAGTTCGGCCCAATGTACGAGCGTCACTCCAAAGTGGAGCTAGGCCCAATGCAACACTCACTCCAAGGTGGAGCTAGGTCGGACCTCGGCCCTATGGCCAACACTTGCTCCGAAGTAAGACAATCATAGGAGTTCGGCCCAATGTACGAGCGTCACTCCAAAGTGGAGCTAGGCCCAATGCAACACTCACTCCAAGGTGGAGCTAGGTCGGACCTCGGCCCTATGGCCAACACTTGCTCCGAAGTAAGACAATCATAGGAGTTCGGCCCAATGTACGAGCGTCACTCCAAAGTGGGTCGAGCAACATGGTGGACCTTTTGGATGGACAGAACCACTCCGAAGTGGGTTGAGCAACATGTTGGACCTCCTGGTTGGACAACCGTTCTAGAGCAGACCAACTTAGAGAAGGCCAATTCACTGAAGATCTTTCTTGGGTCCACTAGAGACAAACAACTCTGCTCCTCTCCCTCTGTATGAACATAACGTGGAGACATGGAGGTGCAGAGGGACAAGGAGCATATATGACAGACCTGCGTCTGAATGGCAGGCGGAGGGGTCGTCCTCTTCCCATGAGAGATGTCCGCTAATGAGACAAACAAAACAGACCTGCACCCGAGTGTCAGGCGGAGTGGTCGTCCTCCTCCAATAGGAGACGACCACGAATAAGACACGTTGGACAGATGGCGGAGAGAGAAGGACTTGAACGACAAACAACCTTCTCCTATAAAAGGTGAACACTATTCACTCTGAAGGGATCCGAAAATGGACACACTCAACACATATACTCTTTGTATTCTCTCTTTTTCCTCTCCCTGAGTCCCTGACTTTACCATCGGAGGGGTTTCCGACCAAACCCCGGTCGGGCAGCCTCACCGTTTGTTACTCTGTGCAGATCTTCAATTCCCGGAGCACGGTGTTCATCCACGAAGTTCAACCCTTCTTCATAGTGTGGAAATCACCCCCGCACATTCATTTATGTTGTTTTTAGTTTGGTTGTTGGAAGAATGTGCATGAAAATGAGATAAATTTGATGTAATTTGAAGAAAAATAAGGATACATCAAGTAAAATTAACTACAACTTTATAGCTAATTTGAGGTTGTTCTTTAAACAAATATGATTCGCGTTTGTTTAGCAATTTGAATTACGAAATGGATCGCCCTACAATGCATCATTCTAATTATATAATCCCACATGGCAGCCCAGCGATTACACTAGGCATGTTTGTTTTTGATGGAAATGACTTTGGAATTGGAATAATAATCTAACAAAATATGTAATTTTATATTTTAGTAAGAAAATTAAGGTTGAGATTAGTAGTCTATTCAGATATGGTTATTCCTCATACGAGAGACTGTTGAACCCCAAGAAGAGAGTGAGATACAAAATAAAAGACTAAAAGGAGATTCAAACTAATTAGTTAAAAAATTAAGAATTTTGTTAATCCCTACTCATAATCCTAAATCAATTCAAACATGAGATAAGATATACAATCCAAATAGATTAATGATCCCAAAATTAATAGTGCTACGAGTGCTAAACTCATCTAATCATGTCGATCCAAATAAACATACATTTTTTGGTATGAGATAGCGGATTCAATTCCTATGGAGAGTAGTTTTATATTATGGCATTTGCACATAGTTGTTTGGCTTGTGATGATTGTTGGGCTTGGTAATTGTTTATTAGATTTTAATTATTCTTCATGTAATATTTTTTATATTTGTAATTACTCTCTTACAAAAAGACAATATAATGATTACCATATTGATTAGGATTTGTAAGAACCTTTGTTATTAATTAGAAGTAAACAACATAAAAAATACTTTTCTACCCCTTCCCCTCCCCTTATCCAAAACAACGTAGTTTCGGTGAACACCAAAATATACGGATTGCTATTGAAATGTGCTATTGCCCATCTACCTGTAAAGTGTATCACTTTAGGCATGGAACTCTCTTCCATTGACTACATTACTTTCCCATTGATTACAAAATACACAGCAATTACAAATTTACAATGGATAGTAAGCAATTGCCTAATTGATCTTTGATATTCCCATCGTTTTTGCAACAAACTCAGATATTTTTCCTTCACTAAAGAAAAAACAAAAAATTGAGACCTTTTAATTGGCTAATGGTTCTGGATTGTTGTTTTCCTTACTGTGAAATATCCTGTGGTAGATTTCTGTCTCATGGATGATCAAAACTTAGGCCGGGGACATTTGGTTGTGCTTTCATTTCGACTTTTAATTTCATTTTCTCGAACAACAAAAAATATATTGTCTGCAAACTGTTTCCCAAAGTTATGTTTAGAAAACACCAAAACCATTGATTTCAAATTTTCAAAAACAGTTTTTGCACCATCAAAAAAATTTTTAAAAAAAAGATGAACTTTTAAATTTTATTTCATTTTTTAATTATTTTGTGTCCGAAACTATGAAAAACTAAAAAAAAAAAACAAAACAAAACAAAAACAAAAACACAACCATACATGCCACATTTTCAAACTATAGAACATGTTCCCTAAATTAACCATATTTTTTTAACTACTGGAACAAGAATTTTGCACATATAGTAACATCAAAACATAGGCAATCAAAATGCTTCCTTAATTTCTACTTTATGCCATCTTCAATGTGTGATGTAGCCTTATATTCTTCTCCCCATATATCCTTCCCTGTGGATCAATCATCGCAGATGCTTCACAAACCATCCAATGATGCTTTGTCTTCCACCTAAACACCTTATACTTAACTTTAGTCTCCACAAACAACCTCAATCCAAAAACCCGGTCGGCAATTCCTCTCCAAAACACTGTATCACCATTGATCAACACATCCAACAGAAGATTCTTCTTGTGGCCTTGATAGAAACCCGGAATTGTTTTGGTGCCAATCGTATCGTCAACGTGAAATAAAGTAATTAAGATGTCATCGTAGAAGATGCCCATACCTTTGTTAGGATTTGATATTTGAAGAGTGAAAATGAGAGAAGTGTTTCTGTTAAGTTCATGTTGCTGGACTGTTGAATTGCTGGTGTTTAAGGCTGGAATGTAGATGTCTGCGACGGTGAAGACCGGGTTTTTGGGGATTAGACTTAGCCATACTACTACTGAGGCTAACCCTAACACTACTATGACTTGGAAGAACCACCAGTAGATAGAGAATGGAGTTTTTGAGATCTCTTTTTGAACCATTTTTAGTGAAATAAAAGGTAAAGCGGAGGTGAAAGGGTATATTACGGATTGATTTTATAGGGAGAGAAAGAAGCTGCATGTTGTGCCTTTTGGTGTCCCAAAAAACTGTTTTTATACAATTAATTAGCCTCTAAGTAAGTGACCGAAAACCTATATTAAGACGATGATATTACGTAAACTAATTAGTGTATTTGTTAGTGTTATAATATTATTATTGATCACATTTATTATATAAGTTATAAATATTTAAAATCATACAAATGATGCCTCATTTATTATAAGGAACCCCAACTCCAATCTATTAACAGATGATGTGACATCATTTTTATGATTTTAAATATTTATAACTTATATAATAAATGTGGTCAATAATAATATTATAATACTAATTACAGCAGGTTGCTGTGAGGCCCATTGGGACCGTGTCTTGAGTCTTTTTCGACTATCCAAACCATTAATATTGTAAGGTTCGTCGAATAGATCATTCATGCAAACAATCAAGTAAAATGGACATTTGTAGCCTCATAATAAGAGCACATTTGTTTTTAAAAAAATAAACGGTTAATATGATTTTAATAATTTTTTAAAAATAATTAGGACTGGATCATGGGATTATAAATGTCCGATTAACTTGATTTTTTATTTGAATAATATACTCGATAAACTTTACAATGTAAACGATTTAGATTATTAAAATACAATGAAAAAATGCCTCTACAAGACCTCACGGTAGGGTTGATGTGCCATAAGGCACAGTAGCAGCCCTCAGTCCTAGCATATTAATGTGTATATTAATTGGTACATATAACATTATTCATATTAAAATGGTACATAGTTACATGGCCTTTGGGATATCCTCTTTAAGTGAAAAAGTTTATGGAAAATTACGGGAAAAAAAAGAAAAAGAAAAAATCACAGGGCTTAAGTTAGGCAACAAAATAAATTCTAAATTTTTAATTTTATCAATTTAAATTTTTACTTTGGATTTGTTTTCAATGTAAATCATTTGTCTATTTTTGTTAAGTAAAATCGATAAAATAATGTATATTTTAGTCCTGATAAACTCACATTACAACAAATAAAAGTCTGAGACCAAAAATTTTGATCTCTAAAAGTGAAAATTTTGTTGTAAAATACATTTAGGGATCAATTTTTATCGTCATGAGGATAGTCGTTAAAAGGTCGTCTCGAAAAGTTCAAAACCAAGGCTTTTAGTGACAAAGTCACTAATAAATAGATTTTTAGAGACAAAATAATATGGTCTCAAAAAGATAATAATTCATTACTAATGTCCAATTTTTGCTGCTAAAAATATAATAACGACACTTTTCGCAATAAAAATATTTGGTCCCTAAAAAATAATTGTCCCTAAATTTTGGTCTCTAAAACTTTAATTTTTTTGTAGTGTCATAAAAAAAAAAGTATTTTAGACATTTTATATATATACTTACATTGAGTTTAAAATTTTAAAAATATTCACTGAAAACAAAAAAAAAACGAAAACCAAAAAAATCAGTTTTCAAAAAACTTAATTCAAAAAATTCAAACCAAACACACTGAATATTTTTTTTTATCGGTTTTATTTAACAAATAGACAAATAGTTTAAATTGAAAACAAATTAAATAATTAGAGTTTAAATTGATAAAATTAAAAAATTATTTTGTTATAAACTTCAAAGTTTAGAATGTGTTTTTTTTTTTTTTTTTTTGTAATTGTACCAAAAGTTTATCATATATGAAAGATATGCACTAATTAGGAATATGGTATTGTCACCTTTTTATAGTAGTGATGCATAAGTAGAAAAATAATACGAAAATATTGTACAGCATTATGTAACGTATATGAATTTTCTTTTCATTTCACTTTTAAAAAATATATATATACATATATATGTTAGTGACAATATTTAGATTTTTTTTAATTTTTATTTTTGCTTCTTACGTAAATTCACACAGCTAAAACTATGTGTTCAAGGTTTCACAATATTTAGAAAATAATAGCCCATGGCTTAGTGGCATGGAGGTAACATTTAAGTGCTTGCAAAGAAGAGGTCAAGAGTTCAACTCTCTCTTATAATATTAATTTAATAATTAATAATTAATTTTAACTAATTTAAAGTAACTACGTTAAAAAAAAAATGGTAATATTCATCTTGTGACAACCTTTTAACCAAAAGTGCCAACAAAATTGGTCTACTTTTTGAAATGCTTGTTTGTTGGCCTTAGGCGTAAATTGACTTCTTTTTCTTTTGAATCTGTGCTTGGCCACATTAAGGTTAAGTTTGGGAAAATTAAATAAATGTATTTTTTGTCTTTTTAGATTAAAAAGTTGAGGTTGAAAATATGAATGTTTGGGTTAATTTTTTGACTTTTTATGAAAAAATGTGTAATAAAAAATTGTAAAAATTATTTTGTAGGGGAAAATTAGAATTGGGAATTGTGCAGCCCTAATTGTTGACTCTTGGTGAATAGTGATGACTTTTTAACTTTTTGAGTAACTTTTTGACTTTTTGACTTTTTTTAAACTACCCAAACTTGGCCTAATTGTTAATCAGTGACAATGACTTTGTTTAATAATAATATTAAAATCATTGTAATTATATTTTTATTTATTTTTTTACGGGACAAATTTAGGCATTATTTGTTTCGATAAATTTTTCTCACATATTTAGTTATGCTCTTAAAATTAATATATTAATGATCGCATTAATGGTGGTAGTAGTAGTGGCGGCAATGACGTGGAGGTGGAGGTGGAGGTAGAGGTAGAGGTGTTGGGGTGGTGGTGGTGGCAATAGTAGTGTAACAATGGCAATGGTAGTGATGTTGTATGGTGTGGTGTTGGTGGTGATGACAATAATAAGATGAAGTGTTAGGGAAAATCGATGTGATTCTCCACAAGTAAATCAATTAATGGGAATAAAAACTAATGCAGAAAAATTAAATCAAAGGCAACACAAGAATTTTTACGTGGTTCCCTCAATGTGAGGTACGTCCACGGGTACGGAGGAGCGTGGACTTGGTCAACAGGATTATACGAGGAGAATTATTTCCTCCCCGTACAATATATATATTTATCTAAATAGTCTTATTTACTATTAGCTATAAAATATTTTCTTGACTTTTATTTTTCGTTACATTAAATGCTAAAATGTATAAACGGAGCATTAATAATATCTTAAGATTGGGCTTCTTTCATGTTTACATCTTAACGAGACTTGTAATCAACCTCACGAGTTTATCAAATTCTCTCATGTTGAAATGTGAATATGTGATAAACCAAATTTTATATTGAATTAGGGACAAACCAACAGTTGAGCAAAAAGTGAATATTATGCTATCAAAAAAAGTCTTTTAAATATACTTTGTATAATGGCCTCCTTTGGAGAATTGACTATTTTTAACGAAAAGATAATAATAATAATAATAATAATAATAATAATAATAATAATAATAATAATATGACAATTTATAATAATTTTTAAATTTATTTATTTATTTTTTTGACTAAAATCTTTACTCATCAAACGGGGTCTAATACATTTAACATCCTTTCCTTTTTTATTAGGCAAAGCCTGGGAAATCGAAAAAGCTAATTGTAATAACAAAAAATAAAATAAAAAATAAAGTTTCAATTTACTTTATTTCCATCAACCACACTCTGTAAAGTTTGTTCAGTGATTAGGAAAAGCATTATGATGAATCAGTTTCGACTAAGGGATTGGTTACTTTGGGCCTTTATATGTTGCTTCTGGCCCAAGTACCTCTAGCTTATCTACAAACGCGCTTGGGGAAATGATACAAAAAATGGGGGTTCCGTATGCAGGTGGTGTTGAAGACCAATATTAAAAAGGCATACACAAAATATAGAGTGACATGCGGAGCAAAATACGGAATGAGATACAAATTTTTTATAAAGAGTATCTAACATATAAGTGTTATATTATGTGAGTCCCATCTTTTATGAAATATTTATATTTTATTTTGTGTTTGGTCTTAAACTTATGAGTGTTTAAATAGGACGAAAAAATATTACACATCAATAAAAAAATATATACATATATAATTATAATTATTAATATTTATTACTTTTTGGTCAATTTTTTTCATAACCTTCACTTACAAATTATTTTCCCTAAATAGAAAGAGGCTTACCTTATATCTATTGAAAGGCACTCACACGATAAATCTATTTTTGAATTTTCTTTGTTTAAATGTCCAGGCATTTAAACATTTTGTTCAAAAAGACAAGCTTATACAAAATGATCAAAACCTCACATTTCCAAACAACCATATGTTCTCTCTCTCTCTCTCTCTCTCTCTCTCTCTCTCTCTCTCTTCTCTTCTCTTCATCGTCGCTGTTATAACCACCTCTGTCGTCATCGATCTCCTCCGTCGTAGCTGATCTGGACTCTCTCTCCCTCATCGCCGTCGATTTCTCTCTCGCCACTGTCGTACTTCGCCGCCATTCGACGTCTCTCTCTCAATCTCAAGCCTCCAATCCGACCACTGCCTTGCTCCATCAGCTAATAACTTTACTGTCAACATGAGGTCTAACCCTAGCTTGGACTCCAAATAGTGAATGATGTTGTTGATAGAGGTGGAACTAGGGTTTGTTTAGCGAAGAAGAAACTCTAAGGCTTGAGCTATGTCCTCCGAGTCTAGAGCTTCCTCCTCGCTGTTCGGCCTTTCTTTGCCCTAAAATCTCAAGTCCTCTGCTCTCAATCGCCTCAATGTCATCGATGACGTCAGTTTTCGGTCGGCGGAGCTCAAAAAAGACCAAGCTTTGTCCATGTTTAAAGACTATATGTCTACGATCACCGATGAACTTAAAGGTATTAATTGACTTCAGTCCATAACAAATTTGGCCATTTTTGGACAGATAGTAAAAAGCCACTTTCGGCTTTTAACCTATTTTGAGTCACATCATCTCTCTAATTTTTTATATGTTTTTTAAAAAAAAGTCAAAAAATGTCAGCTTTTAACCTACTTATCAAAACAAG